GGCATCCCCTGATTCCTGGGTGTGTCTGCCATGTCAGCCACTGTCAGACCCACCTGAGTTGGGGGTTTAGTTTTGGTGACCCCTGTGCTACATTTGCTAGCTGAACCTTGGGACAGCACCCCGCCCCCTCCCCAATGCTGGCCCCTTTGTGCACTACCCTCCCAGGTCAGGTCCTCAGGGATTCCTGTGTCTCCAGGCCCTAGGGCGGCTTCCCTCACAGATGGCCTGTAGCAGGAAACCTCTTGTTTTGTCTACTTGTCTAGGGTGATGAGGGGAGGTAGGGAGCCAATGTGTCCTGCTGGGGACCTGGAGAGGACCCTGCAAAGGTCTTAGGCCTGCCTTGTTCCACCCTAAACCTAATTTCTTCCACAGAAAAGAAGAGGCTTCACTGGGAGGGTTGAAGAGCACTTTTGGGTTTGCAAAGGGCCTAGCAAATATCATTCTCAGCATGGTGCCATTAACAGACAAGGCAGAGAGGCCAGGTGACTCTCCCTTCATTAATTCAGAAGACCTGGATGCTAGGCTGCCAGACAGCTGGCGACCCCCTTCTCAAGGGAGATCTAGGATTGAGCTTCAGATTAGGAGTCAAACAGAAGACTGAGGGTCAGAGAGCAGCGTGTGGGTGGGGATGCTGGAGCAGCCACCTCCCCCTGGGATGAGGCTTAGGTGAGCTGAGGACACTTCTCGGCAGGTGTCCCGGGGTGAGGCCCCTTGCTTCAGCTGACCTTGGCAGCAGGCAGTTCCCTGGGCGGAGCAGAGCCCAGGCTTGATGGTTCTGGTCCTGGGGTTGGTAGTCAACTCTGCCGCCGGTTGTCCCTGCCAGCATGGTCCTGTGAGTGTGCAGGGCAGGCCTGAGCACAGAGGTGGTTGCTGCTCACACCTGAGGATGCAGCTCCACACTGGCTGTGGCCACTGTCTGTGCCCGGACTGGCCAGAGCTTCTGTCTAGTCTTTTCCCAAACTCGACACCTTTGGAGGGTCCTGTCCTCAGGTGTCCCCAGGGCTGCCCTCTTGTTACATATGCTCTAGTTAGGGCCCTTTCACCCCCCATCTCCTGCCCCTCAGAGAGTACCAAGTGCCCACAGGCTGCACCAGACACTCTGTGGTGGAGTCAGCTGCTGCCTGTTGTGCCAGGCACTGCTATGACCCCTGATTTCCAGATGGGAAAGCTGAGGCTTGCTTAGGGTTGTAGGTGGTGGAGACACATGGGGCCTGAGCATCAGCCTGGGCTGTACCCAGTGGCCTCCTTGCATCAGCTCCTGCTTTCTGGCTCTCCCTGCACCTGTGCACGCGGCCAGCTTGATGGGTCCCCAGACATCCCCAGAGCAAAAACCTGAGTTGACAGGACTCTCCACCATCCCCCACCCAGCTCTTCCACACCAGGCTCCGCAGGCAGCCAGAGTGGACTTCACTGTGCATGGCGCCAGTGGCTCCCTTGACCCTCCTCGTCCCTCAGCCTCATTGAGAGTCCTGCCCCCAGTCCCCAAGCTGGTCCTGGGATGCACTGTGGCTTTGGGTGTCTCCTGATGGGGCTGGGCCTGGGCTGGCAGCTGTGATGCTGCTGCAGTGACTCAGATACTGTGTGACCCCAGGCAGTCAGGCCTTCCATGGGCCACGGTTTCCCCATACACTGAGGGGTCAGCGGGGTGGGGGAGACACTGTTTGGATCCCCCCGAGGGGTTTTCTGGGAACAAGAGCCCACTGTGCGCCTGGGGAAGGCCTGGACACTGAGCCACTGTCTCTGGGAGGGCAATGTGCAGCTCCCTGGCCGGACTCTTTGTCCAGCCTGGGCCAGCCTCTCCCCACGCCTACTCCGGCTCTTCCTTTGTGAATCCCACCCACTCGAGGCCCAGATGGGGATCTAGGCACAGGGGTGGGGCAGACCAGAACACCCAGCACTGCCCACCCGCAGGACCTGTAACTGAGTGGGTTCTCAGGTTCCCTTCTGCCTGCACTCCTAGCACAGGAGTGGTTTTTGTGGAGGTGGGGGAACCCCAGGAGACCTGGATGTACAGGCATGGCAGCTGGTGCCTCCCTCATGAGCTGAGTACTCTACTGCCTCCTGGGGCCGCCTGTGGGCCCCGGCTGAGACAGTACTGGGAGGTCAGGTTCCCCGTACATGCTCACAGCTCTCAGCTCTTCTCACCCTCTAACTGTTCCTGCTTGCACCCACTTATGCCAGACAGCTTCTCCTCCCAGAGCCAGTTGAGGGGTCATCTTGAGGAATCCCCCATTACCCCAGGTTAGGGACCAGATGGCCTGTGTTCTTCAGTGATCAGTTTACCCATTGGTGGCTTCAGACCAGGCTGGTCCTGAGCACTGTGGAACCAGCAGTGACAGGACAGTGGCCCATACACATGTGAATGAACTCCTGCCCTGTGCTGTACCCGGAGATCCAGGCCAAGGACCACCTCTGGGGAGCGGGGCAGCCTGAGGCTGCAGGTCCTGCAACGCAGGGGAGGTTGGGCAGAGCGCATTTGCGGGGCTCTGCGATGGGAGGGAGTCAGGTGTGAGGAGCGGTGGAGAGCAGGAGCCATGGGAGTCATGGATGTATGTGAGCCCATCAGCTGGCAAAGGTCTCTGTTGGCAAAAGTCATTCACACTCCTGAGTGAAGAACCAGCTGGATGTCGCCTAGTGCCGCTGGGCACAGGTGGAGACTCCTGGAGAGGCTGGCCCCCTGGATTCAGCCTGCTGATTCATGGCAGTGGCCCCAGTCTCTACTCTGGGCCCTGCTCCTCTCTGGCCCCTATAATGGCCTCACTAAGAGCAGTCGTCCGTTTTCTGGGTGAGAACATGCTGAGGGTGTACTCAGAATGCTGTCCCAGCACTGTGGGTTCCCGAAGCCCCTTCCCGAGCACGACCTGCCTTCCCAACATGCCTGACACTGTCTGAAATTCCACCCCTAGTGTCTGAGACTCAGAGGTGGCCCCTCCTGGCTATTCCTTACTAGCAGGGTGATGGTGCTGCAGTCCATATGCTCTGCGGAGAGAGGGCTGGGGGATGATGAGGAAATTGAGCTGTGACCCCTTCACACTGTGGCTGGGCCGTATCTAGGACACGCAGGTCTGCGTTGGGTTTGGGCCATGCGTCAGATGCAGAGGGGTCTCCTGGTGCTGTTCCCAGAGGGATCTTGACCCACCCAGTTCTCAGGATGCCTTCCTGTCTGACCCTGTTGCACTCTGGGGCTCTGCATGGGCGAGGAGCCCTGGAGGGATTCCCAGTGATGTGGAGGCAAGCTGCCGCCCTTGGCTCTTGCCCCTGATTCCAGGCCATGTATGGGCCAGGGACAGGAACTCAGCCTTAGGGGGCCATGTGGATGGAACGACCCCTGGGCACCATGTCTGGGGAGTGCCCCAAAGCTTTGCCCCCCAACTCTCACCTGGGACCTGAAGTGCACAGTCAGCTCAGATCAGGGGCTGGAGTGTGAGGGGTAGGATAGGAGCCAACAGAAGGCATCCCTGAAGGACCCCCTCCCACCTGTGTCCTGGTCCATGTAGGACCCGTAGGAGCTGTGAGCAGCATTCCCAGCCTTTCCCTGGTAGTGAGGGTCGGAAGAAACCGTGAGCTCTGTCCCAGGCCTGTCCCTGGTTGGCATGAGACCATCAGGAACTGTGAACAGCACCCTGGGCTGTCTAATTGTGCTACCCTCCATATATGACCTTGAGCAAGGCAAGCCTGTGTTCTCCTGGCCTCAGTTTCCCTATTTGTACAGCATAGGTGAGACTTTCCTTCAATCAGTTGAGAGTGAGACCTGTGAGTGAAAGCCATTTCTGGGGCCTTAGTGGATGGGTTGCAGACCCTGCAGCTCCGAGCCTGTCAGAGGCTGCAGCTCCTTAAAGAGGCTGAGGAATTTGGGGTTTTCTGTCCAAAACTGCTTCAGGAAGCTCCGGCCAGCCCCCTGCTATCTGTCTCAACTTGGGTCTCCACTGGAATCCCTGTGTGGTCCCCCTGGGTTGGGGACAGCTGCAGGTCTGCCAGGAAGGTGTAAGGGGGAAATGGAGTCATAGTCACACGGCCAGGCAGTGGTGGCCAGAATCGAACCCTGGTCTTTCTGCTCTGGGGCCTTCCCCTGGGCTCTGGCACGGTGCCTGGGATGCTCATGGTGGAGCTGACCACGCAATGCCCGGCAGCCCCAGCACCGAGCAGCTTCACTGCTGTTTCTGGGCACGTGCTGCCACCTGGTGGTCACTATGGCGTCTGCGCCCAGGTGGTTTCTGGAAAGTCATTTGTGCACGGGAGCCTGGGCCACCAGCTGCTGCTCTGTCACCCTCTTTCCTGAATGTGGTGACTCTATGCAGTGGACCGATCACACACCCCTTACAGGCTGTCATGTGCATAGTGGGCCCTTTGTCTCTGGAGTGGAAGTTTTGGTGGGTAAGAGGGTGAGGCCTGGGTAAGACAGGTCTGAGATTTGCCCTGGGCACAGACTAGGGTGAGCCCCATGTCAGTAAGACCTCACATTGGCTGTTCCTTGTGTGTGGAAACCCCTGGAACCCCAGCTGTGCTCACTCCCCTCCTTCAAACCTTTGCTCAGATGTCACTCCACAGTGAGGCCTCACTGCCCCCTGTCAAGCAACCCTAGTTTGTTTTCTTTCCCCCATCACGCTTAGCATCTTTTAACCAGTACATTCACTTATTTAAAAAGTTTATTGTCTAGACTATAAGCTCCAGGAGGGCAAGGATTTTGTCTCGTTTCTCCACCAATGTGCCTCAAGCACCTAGAGCAGTATCCTGATCACAGTGGGTGCTCAGATAGTTGTCCCATGGACTTATGTTGTCTGAGGACCTAGGATGTGCCCAGCACTGTCTGTTGGAGTGAACAAGGCTGGCACAGAGCAAGTCAGTGCTGAGCACATAGTAGGGCTCTGACAATGGGGGACATGAGCACCACAGTTGGGCTTATCACTGCTTTTCCCTCCTGGGTCTGGGCACAATGAATCTTCAGCTATCAGCGTTGTCATTATTGAATAACACACCACGCCCTGCAGGCCTGCCTTGCTCTGCCAGGAACCATGAGTGAGGCCCGCAGGGACAGCACGAGCAGCCTGCAGCGCAAGAAGCCACCGTGGCTAAAGCTGGACATTCCCTCTGCGGTGCCCCCGACAGCAGAAGAGCCCAGCTTCCTGCAGGTAGGTCCTGGCCAGCAGGGACTGTGGGTGCCCCCTGTCCAATACCCTCACCATGACCCTGTTGCCCAGCCCCTGAGGCGACAGGCTTTCCTGAGGAGTGTGAGTATGCCAGTCGAGACAGCCCACATCTCTTCGCCCCACCATGAGCTCCGGCGGTCGGTGCTGCAGCGCCAGACGTCCATCACACAGACCATCCGCAGGTACCAACGCTTCCCAACCGCTCCACGGGGTGGGAGCTGGGGGCTGGCGGGGCAGAGGCAGGTACACTGAGGATGGGAATGAGAACAAGGGGCCCTCCTGTCTCAGCTTCCTCCTCCATCTTGGTCCCCACAACCCCTTGCCCTCCTCCTGTTCTGGAGACTGACCGCTCTCACCCCACTACCCTGCTCCACTCCCTTCTCTTCAGCACTCACTCTCTCCTTCTCTGTCTCCACCACCCGGATGCTCTGGCCTCTTAGCAGCCGACAAGTACACTTCGGCCGTGTCCACACTCTACCCCTCTTGGGTCCCTGGGCTGCCCGCAGGGCCTTCCCGCAGCGCCAGTCTGTCTCTTGGTCCCTGCTCAGGTATCTCATACAGGTCATGAGTGTGTTGGTGTTTTCTGGTATGTGCTTGGCATGTGGCCTCTTGGGAGCTGCCAGCGTGGTTGGCATTCCCTGGGGCTCCTAACGGCAGGTGCTGGCAGTGTTTTTGTTTGCATGTCCAAGTGCTGTGGACAGCCTGCCTGGGCCTGTAAGCACCTGCTGTCTGAGCTCTGTGGTGTCCTGGGGCCAAGCTCTCTTGGGTTGAGCTCTCTGCTCCCTCTCTGGACTCAGTGTCTCCCCTCAACTGCCCCTCAGGGATGGTGGGGTTAGGGCCTCTGTGAAGCACTCAGCTGGGCAGGGCCTTCCAGCTGTGGTCTAGTGGGAACTTGAAGTTGGCTAACAGTTCAGGGGGTGGCTGGAACCCACTCATCCTCTTATTAGACCTTGCCCACCCAGACCCTGGCCCCTGGATTGACTGCAGGCCTGGGGCGGGGCATGCCGCCCCAGAGGAGGGCCTTTGAAGTCCCCTGCCTGGGAGGGGGCGATCTGGCTGCCCCTTGCTGAGTCCCTGCCATGCCAGGGGGACCGCTGACTGGTTTGGAGTGAGCAAGGACAGTGACAGCACCCAGAAATGGCAGCGCAAGAGCATCCGTCACTGCAGCCAGCGCTATGGAAAGCTGAAGCCCCAGGTCCTCCGGGAGCTGGACCTGCCCAGCCAGGACAACGTGTCACTGACCAGCACCGAGACGCCACCCCCACTCTATGTGGGGCCATGCCAGCTGGGCATGCAGAAGGTATGCCTGCCTTTTGCTGCCTCCTGCAGGCCCCTTCTTCTGCTCCCAGGGGCTGGGGCTGCAGACACAGCTAGCCTGAGCAGAAGAGACTCTTTGGGAGTTCACAGTCTTGAAGGGCAGTCAGACAGCCTGCCCGTGAAGGCACCTGAAACAGTCTCTGGGAAGGGGTACCTTGGGATGGGGACATGGTCTGGGGATTGCACCAGGGGACCAGTGTCTGGATGGGGGAGCATTCCAGGCAGGACCTCTAGGTGCTGTGGGGTGGGAGTGGTGCCCATACAGCTGTCCAGGGGCCCATGAGGAGTCAGGAGCAGTAGTCACACTGTCTGTGCAAGGCCTCTGTGTGTCTGGGTGAGCTAGGAGCCCCCATGGTCCTGACTCCAGCATCTCCTCCCCTCCTCCAGATCATAGACCCCCTGGCCCGTGGCCGGGCCTTCCGTGTGGCAGATGACACTGCAGAAGGCCTGAGTGCCCCTCACACTCCCGTCACACCGGGTGCTGCCTCCCTCTGCTCCTTCTCCAGCTCCCGCTCCGGTTTCCACCGGCTCCCGCGGCGGCGCAAGCGAGAGTCGGTGGCCAAGATGAGCTTCCGGGCAGCTGCAGCACTGATGAAAGTGGGTGCAGGGGCGAAAGGTGGGGGTGGGGGCCGAGCCAGCAGCCGGGGCTCATGCTCACTTCCCCTCCCCAGGGCCGCTCTGTTAGGGATGGCACCTTGCGCCGGGCACAGCGCCGAAGCTTCACTCCAGCTAGCTTTCTGGAGGAGGACACAACTGATTTCCCCGATGAGCTGGACACATCCTTCTTTGCCCGGGTAAGAAGCGCCCAGGGCGTCACCCCCCGTCCCTGTTCCCTTCTCCCTGCGTCCACCCTGACCTCATGTGTTTGCTCAGGAAGGTATCCTCCATGAAGAGCTCTCCACATACCCGGACGAAGTTTTTGAGTCCCCATCGGAGGCAGCACTAAAGGACTGGGAGAAGGCACCGGAGCAGGCGGACCTCACCGGCGGGGCCCTGGACCGCAGCGAGCTTGAGCGCAGCCATCTGATGCTGTGAGTGCCGCAGGCAGGGAAGGGGGCCAGAGACAGACCCGGGGGCCCCTCAGGAACAGCTGAGCGAGTATCGCATTCACCTCTGTGGGCGATGGAAGGGGTAGCCTCATGGACTGATGGACTGGGAACTCACTGGCCACCGGGGCTGGGCGACCCAGGGCTGGGCATGGCCCCAGCCTCATGGCTAGCCTGTGAATGGGACAGCAATCTTAGAGCCCAGGGGCTGGACAGAATCCAACGGGGAGGCGGAGGTGACAGAGGTGATACTTGCTGAGTTGCAGAACTCAGTGGGCCCCGGTTCCGGCTCCCTGCCATCCCCGGAGGCGCGCAGTGTTGGGGGCAAGGAGGAGGCAGATGCTGGGCAACTTGCCCAGCATCTTCACCAGGATAGAGACAGGGTGCCCTGGTACCCCCTGGGAGGGACGGCAGCAGCTTGGGGGGCTGGGGCGGGGATGAACGCCGGCTCCCTCCAGGCCCCTGGAGCGAGGCTGGCGGAAGCAGAAGGAGGGCGCCGCAGCCCCGCAGCCCAAGGTGCGGCTCAGACAGGAGGTGGTGAGCACCGCCGGGCCGCGGCGGGGCCAGCGCATCGCGGTGCCGGTGCGCAAGCTCTTTGCCCGGGAGAAGCGGCCGTATGGGCTGGGCATGGTGGGACGGCTCACCAACCGCACCTACCGCAAGCGCATCGACAGCTTTGTCAAGCGCCAGATCGAGGACATGGACGACCACAGGTAGGCGTGGCTGGCAAGGCCTGGGTTGGGATGGAGGCTCCTGGGGGAGGGTGGGGCTCCGGGTTGGGGATGAGGCCGCTGCTGACGCTCCACCCCGCAGGCCCTTCTTCACCTACTGGCTTACCTTCGTGCACTCGCTCGTCACCATTCTAGCCGTGTGCATCTATGGCATCGCGCCAGTGGGCTTCTCGCAGCATGAAACGGTGGACTCGGTGAGCCCCTGTGCCTTTGCTGGGCCCAGACGGGTGGAGTCTGGGCATTGGACCCCCTCCCGCCCCGCTCTGGGAGGAGAGGGCCCGAGTCGGGCCGTCTGATCCCGCTCCCCAACCTCCCAGGTGCTGCGGAACCGCGGGGTCTACGAGAACGTCAAGTACGTGCAGCAGGAGAACTTCTGGATCGGGCCCAGCTCGGTGAGGGCGGGGTTGGGGCGGGGCCGGCGGGGGCGGGACGTGGAGGTGCCCGGCGGGCAGGAGGCCCCGACTGAAGCTGCTTGTCTCCCTCGCCCGCAGGAGGCCCTCATCCACCTGGGCGCCAAGTTTTCGCCCTGCATGCGCCAGGACCCGCAGGTGCACAGCTTCATTCGCTCAGCTCGTGAGCGCGAGAAGCACTCGGCCTGCTGCGTGCGCAACGACAGGTCGGGCTGCGTGCAGACCTCGGAGGAGGAGTGCTCGGTGCGTTTCCCGCCCTGGACTCCCACCCTCGTCTGCCTCGTGGTCGCTCTTTCCTTCAGATTTCAGATAGACTCAGCAGAGCGATCCTTCGCCCTCGTTCCTGGCACATCCCGCCGTCCCTATGTGCAAGGCCTTTCTTGTCATATTCATTCCTCCTTATCCCCACCATCCCCCATCTCCAGCTCCTGGCTCGAGACCATCACCTGATTTGGTCTTTTGATTTGGGGGCACTCTTCAAGCATGTGTCTTAAAGCTTACATAAGTGGTATTAGCCTCTTTTCCACTAAGCAATTTTTTGAAAAAGATTCATCCAAACTTTAATCACATCATCTTATATGGGGATGCCGTAGTCCATACCAGTTCCCTGATTTAGGACAGAGGTTGTTTCTGATTTTCAGCTAACAGGAATTATGCTGTTGAACTCCTTCTAAGAGTCTTTTCCATCATGCATGTGTATCTCAAGAGTGGGGGTGACTTGTAGAAGCCGAGGGAAGAGCTCAGTGGTTTTGCCTTTGACTCCTGACTCCCTGAGTGCCCCTCATTGCCCTGACCCAACTGGACCTGACCCTGTGCCCCCCTCCCGCAGTCCACGCTGGCAGTGTGGGTGAAGTGGCCCATCCATCCCAGCGCCCCAGAGCTTGCCGGCCACAAGAGACAGTTTGGCTCTGTCTGCCACCAGGATCCCAGGTTAGTCCCGCCGGCAGCTCTCTCACCTGCCTTTGTTCACACCTTCCCCGGGGGGCGTGGTGCAGAGGGTGTAGGGGCTCCCCTTGTTGGGGACTTAGCTGGAAGGGTGCCAATGCTAGGGGCTCGAAGCAGGGCCTGACCACATACTTGGCTTGTGCAGGGTATGTGATGAGCCCTCCTCTGAAGACCCCCATGAGTGGCCAGAAGATATCACCAAGTGGCCGGTGAGCTGCAGTGGGGGGTGGTTAGGGAGTCCTCCTTGTCATGTGGGGGAGAATGCCACACCCCACCCACTGGCGATGCCAGAGATTCCCATCATGGGACCACCTCACGTTTTCAGATGCTGTGCACCTGGCCTTTGCACAGCCTGTCCATCAACCAACGCCTGCCCCTCTGAGCAAGTAGATCAAGAGAACTAGATGGAGACTTGAAAGGTCAAGTGACATGATTCCAGTTTGATAGAGACTCAGAGTGTGGTGGCTTGAAGTCAAGGAAGCCACACCATTTTCTACTTTATGAGCCCGCCCATCTTTGCCTCTACCCCCAAACATGGTGTGGGGCCAAAGGTTGGGGGAGGCCCTGACCCAGCTCGTCCCCATTTGTGACCCAGATCTGCACCAAAAACAGCGCCGGGAACCACACTAACCATCCCCATATGGACTGTGTCATCACAGGACGGCCCTGCTGCATTGGCACCAAGGGCAGGTAGGTGTGCATGTGAGCGAGTGCAGCTGGTCTCTGGGCTCAAGAGCATTGCCCTAGGGCTGTGCCTTCTCCCTAACTAAACCCTGAAATAACCCAGTATACCAAGGGTGTGGGGTTAGAGGGGGTCTGGACTTCTTCGGGGCCAACAAAGGTGGGTAGGTGCGGCTGAAACTTTCCCTGGATGTCAGCAATCCCCCTCGGCAAGGCAGCAGCCTCCGAACCCCGGCCTGCCTTTCTAGGTGTGAGATCACCTCCCGGGAGTACTGTGACTTCATGAGGGGCTACTTCCATGAGGAGGCCACGCTCTGCTCTCAGGTAGGTGTCCGGAGTGTCCGTCTTTCCCTGCCCCCAGCTGCTGTGAGTGCTGATATGCTGCTCTGCACAGGTGCACTGCATGGATGATGTGTGTGGGCTCCTGCCTTTCCTCAACCCCGAGGTGCCTGACCAGTTCTACCGCCTGTGGCTGTCCCTCTTCCTGCACGCCGGGCAAGTGACACTGTGGGCTGGGTGGGGGGACTCAGGGCCCCCAGGATTGGCTGGCTGGGGGTGGCAGAGAGGTCACTTCCCTGCTGAATGTCTCCCAACGCCCACCTGCCACTGACTACAGGATCCTGCACTGCCTGGTGTCCATCTGCTTCCAGATGACCGTCCTGCGGGACCTGGAGAAGCTGGCAGGCTGGCACCGCATAGCCATCATCTACCTGCTGAGTGGTGTCACCGGCAACCTGGCCAGTGCCATCTTCCTGCCGTACCGAGCAGAGGTAAGGCTGGCCCTCAGGGTGGGGATCCTCCGTGTGCACCTGCAGCCTGCTGTGAACCTGTCCATATGGAGCACTGTCTGGGAGCATCTCCAGTTGGGTCCTCGGTCCCAATATGCTCTGGGCCATGGGAAGTGGGGCACAAAGATGAGGCCTGGGGTCCAGGGGGCCTGTCCAGCCCCACAGCCTTATAGCTACCCCAACCATCCCCCAGGTGGGTCCGGCTGGCTCCCAGTTTGGCATCCTGGCCTGCCTCTTTGTGGAGCTCTTCCAGAGCTGGCAGATCCTGGCGCGGCCCTGGCGTGCCTTCTTCAAGCTGCTGGCTGTGGTGCTCTTCCTCTTCACCTTTGGACTGCTGCCCTGGATCGACAACTTTGCCCACATCTCAGGGTTCATCAGTGGCCTCTTCCTCTCCTTCGCCTTCTTGCCCTACATCAGCTTTGGCAAGTTCGACCTGTACCGGAAACGCTGCCAGATCATCATCTTTCAGGTGGTCTTCCTGGGCCTCCTGGCTGGCCTGGTGGTCCTCTTCTACTTCTATCCTGTCCGCTGTGAGTGGTGCGAGTTCCTCACTTGCATCCCCTTCACTGACAAGTTCTGCGAGAAGTACGAACTGGACGCTCAGCTCCACTGAGCTGGCTGTGGGCTCCAGGGGTCGTGTGCTCCAGCAGGCCAGAGCCAGACACGACAACTCTGAGCCTCACAGGCTTACAGGAGTCACCTGCTCCATGCGGGGACTGGCCTGTTTCCTGAACACAGACCTCTTTCTTGTGCCTTGTTCACTTCTGTTGAACCCCTCGTACTGCTGGGCATTTATTATACCACTTCCCGTGATAACCTTCTAACTTGTTTCTTGACGACCACCTCATGTGGCCAATAAATGGACTGGGAGCGTTTTAGCTGCCATTAACTTGAGCAGGGCTTCCCCTTCCTTCTTTGTTTCTGGCTGGGAGCTGTGGAGGGAGGTCCTGCAGGCCCCTTGCAGCCAACTCACTGGGCAGGGAACTGAGTGTCAGATACAGTCAACAGACTCTTTTGCTTCCCAGTGAAATCCTTCAGCCAGGCACGTGCACCTTGCTCTTTCTCCTTAGAGTGCCTGGTAGCCGACGCTGGGACAAGGACCTAGGGATGTGCTGTCACACCCTCCCCACGTGCTGGGAAACACCCCGCCCCTACCCTCAGCAGCTCCAATTTCCACCCCGCACTACCTCGCTGTCCACTGAATCTGCTGAAGGCACTGCTACAGGCGAACCCTAAAGGCTGACGCTGGAGGCCCCACACATAGCCGTGCTGTGCTCGCTGCCACCTGCCACTGTGAGCTCCAGGACGCAGACCCTAAAGCCACTCTGCTTTTATTTCCTCCTTGCTGTGGAGATCATGGTAACACAGTTGTGTGGTTTGGGGAGTGGTGTGGCCACAAGGCTTTGGTGGTGTGACATCTTGCACTACAGGACTCACCTGTACCAATTCTCTCCCCTTAACTTACCTCTGTGATGGGGCAACCTCAGTCTTTGCTACCCAGGGTACTGTGGCTTTTGACTTTTAGAAGCACACAGGTTTATTTTATACACAGGGCCAGGCCGTGGCTCTGCCATGTGACCAGGGTCTTTGGACCCAAGGAGAGGTCAGTCTCAGGCCAAGGACATGAAAGAAGGGAGCACTGGCTCACCCTGTCCTAGTCCTGAGGGCCCCCAGGTTCATGCTGACAGTTCCTGTTGGGTGCCTTTCTGTGAAAGAGGCACAATGACTCGAGGATCTGATCCTGCTGGGAAAAAGCTCAGCCACCAGTGATAAAGAGAGTTGTCCTGTCTGGAGGCTCACTTTTGCCTCAGCTTTTTGATGAAGGAAACCTCATCTCGATTCCGGATGCCATAACTGAAAAAGAAGGAAAGGCCTAAAGCACCTGCCCTACAGAAGGACACATCTGTGACTCCCCTCCTGAGGCTTGTGGGGGGCCACGAAGAAACAACAGAAGGGAGGCATGTGGCCTCTGGGAAGGCCAGGAAGTGGTAGTGGCCATCCTCTCACAGACTCAGAAGCACTCTGACTCACAAGTCCCTGGGGCAGGGAACTGAGTGTCAGATACAGTCATAGCCTTTCGCCTCCATGCCGACTCTGATTTCCTCCCTCCTGGCACTGTGTAGCCCTAAGCTGCCACTGGTGGGAAGCAGCAAGGCCCCTCCAGTGCCCTCTGCCTGCCATTCTCCTAGTGGGGAGGGCCCCAAGGAAGCTCCTTGGAGGAGGGTGTTACCTCCAGAGAGGGAGCCGCAGCCCTCTGGCAGAGCACGGGGGACTAGGGGGCAACAGAACAGCTGTCCCCCACAGCTCAAGATGTGGCCGGCACTTACTCTCGGAGCTTCTTTTTATCTTCTGTGAGTTTCTCTCCTGCAGAGGTCAGATGGTACGTCCTCCACACATAAGACCTGCAAGAGGGGAACGCAGGTAAACCACACGCCCTGAGCACGGTGAGCTGAGTGGCTGTGCATGGCGTGGGCTTGAGGCATTCAGCCCTATGGGACCTGGGGCAGCTGTCCTCCCTACCTGGGCTGTTCTGTACAATGTGCAAACTGGCTCTGAGGCAGCTGCAAGGAGGCTCTGTTCTCAGAGGGCTGTATGGGGCGGCTTGGACAAACACACCTTGCTAATGCAATAGGTGACAGTGTTGAGACTCAGTGAACAGGACAGTTGATCCAATAGGAGAGCGAGGGCTGCCAGCACCCAGGTGAGAAGGGGATGGTAGCCACTACAGGTGTACCATCCATAACTAGGGAGGCCACTTCCAGACACACTGGAAATGCCCGACGGGGTCCCCAAGTGAGGATATCCAACAGCTTGGATGGGGTGATGGCAATGAAAGCAGTACGTTAGGGATGGCTGAGGCAGGAGACCCAGGCACAGAAGGACCTGCACTGTCTGAACTCTTGTGACAGGGAGCTCATCACTTCAGTGGTGCTGTACTCATGCTGAGTTGAGAGCTGTTTCCAGGTGGTGCCTGGTGACAGTGCCAAGAACAGCACTAGCCCCAGGAAGGGCTATAATGAAGGGATTGTCGTTCCACTTACCAGCTGATGTGCTGAATGCCCCCTTCACGCTCCTGCTTGAGCTGCACGTATCTCTGGATGGCCTTCTTCAGGTCCAGGACGGTGGCACTCTGCACTACAACCACAGCTGCAACCACAGACACAGATGGGAGAAGATCCACAGTGAGAACCCAAAGCCATAGCCTCCGACGGCAGGAAAGGAACCCGGAAGCTCTGTGCACAGGGCAGGTTTGTGGTTGCCCCAGTACCCCTGGGCATGGCCTGTGAGTTTCGGAGCAGGCTGACCAGCACTGTTACATTTTGCTGCTGTGAAAGCCTGGACCACATAACCTGAAGGGAGGAAGGCACACTTACGCATTACTTCTCCATCCATCTTGCACACTCGGACCGTCATTGCCTGGCCATATTCTAGGGCTATTTGGGAGTTGACTTCTTCCAAAGTAACCTAGAAAAGACCAAGGGCAGAAGTGGGAACCCTGGCTGTCTTTACAACAACAAAGAACAAGCTGACAGTGGCCAAAAAGTGGTGCTCCATTTTACGAAAGGCAAGGAAGGGTACTTGCATATATGTTAGGGTTTCCCAATTCATCAGAGCCCCAATCTCATGTTCCACTCACATTTTAATGTCCAAAGTGGACAGAGTCTCTGGGGGAAAGAGGTGCTAAAAAACAGGCAAGAGAATAAACTCACAAGAGGATCCGTCCCTAGGGGTGGGTGGGGGCCTGTCAGTTCACCCTGAGTATCCCTGATCATCAGGACCCAGGCCAGGGCCCAGGACTGAGTAAGGCAGGTGTACACAAAAAACGGTAATAACAAATATTTTAATACAACATTTAAGAAATACAAGGCAATTAAAATATCCATGATGAGCAAAATATAAAACATTTAAAATTGGCCGGGTGCGGTGGTTCACGCCTGTAATCCCAGCACTTGGGAGGCCGAGGCCAGCGGATCACTAGATCAGGAGATCGAGACCATCCTGGCCAACATGGTGAAACCCCGTCCCCACTAAAATACAAAAAATTAGCCGGGCGTTGTGGCGCGTTCCTGTAGTGAACCCCGGAGTGGGAGGTTGCGGTGAGCCAAGATCGCACCACTACACTCCAGCCTGGCGACAAATCAAGACTCAGTCTCAAATAAATAAATAAATAAATAAATAAATAAATAAAAAGTATCGTGCCAAAGCATATTGACGCTTGAGGCAAATGGAACTAAGTTTTTTCGTTTATCGTAGGGTTTTTTTTTTTTTTTTTGCATCACCTTTGACTTTTAAAGCTATTACAGGCCGAGTGGGTGGCTCACACCTATAATCCCAGCTTTTTGGGAGGCTGAGGTAGGAGAATCGCCTGAGCCCAGGAGTTTGACACCAGCCTGGGCAACATAGTGGGACTCCCTCTGTACAAACAATTTAAAAATTAGCCGGGTGTGGTGGCGCGCATCTGTCCTCCCAATTACTCCGGAGGCTGAGGTGGGAGGATGGCTTGAGCTCAGGAGGTGCAGGCTGCAGTGAGCCAAGATCGCGCCACTGCACTCCAGCCTGGGCGACAGAGCAAGACCCTGTCCCCCCAGCCCCCTAAATACAATTACATTAAAATGTCATTTAATGTCACTCACTAATGAGGTTTTTGGTTCCTCTTTAAACTTCGCGCCGCAGGCGAGTGCGCCCGGCCAAGGTAAAGACCCTTGTTTACGCCCAGAGGCGCCTTCCTCAGCCTTGGGCCGCAGCCTCCCACCAGCACCTTCAGAGGCTGCGCGCGCCCGGACGCCCGGCCCCCGGGGAACGACTCCCGCCCCCCGGCCCCCGCCCGCACACACCTGGATCGGCAGATCGCAGAGCAGCGGGTCCTGCACCACCATAGCCAGACCCTCCTGGAACACGTCCATGGCCTCGGAGTGCGGCAGCGCCTCTTCTTCGTCCTCATCTTCCTCTTGCGCCTCGGACCCACCCGCGGCCTCCATCTCCTCCAGGGCCGCACCTCTCAGCCGGTCTCTGCCGGCACTTCCAGTACGCACTAGGGAGGCCAAGCGCGCACGCGCAGGAACTGCGGCCGGTCCCAGCGAGGCCGCCCAGTCATTGGTGCGCCGACGGGTGGGGCGGCTGCAGTGACCAATGACAAGAGCGAGACAGCCAGCAGCAGGGCTGGGAGCGCAGAATCGCCCTGTCTATTGGTTGGTGGGCGGGGCGAGGCGGCCGCCAGGACCAATGTAAGCTCGAGGCGGGCGGCGCGTCGGCGCTGAGCGGCAGTGGGAGCTGCGGGTGGTTGGCGCCTGCGGAGTTCGAGACCATGCTGCTGTTCTGCCCCGGCTGCGGGAACGGGCTGATCGTGGAGGAGGGACAACGCTGCCACCGCTTCGCCTGCAACACGTGCCCCTACGTGCACAACATCACCCGCAAGGTGGGACCCGAAGGCCGGCGCTGGGCCGCGGGCGCCTCTCGCAGGCCTTCCTCTTCCTCCGACTGCGGCGCCATCGCCGCCAGCCCCGGCGTCTGCCTCTGTCCGCTCTTTCTCGCGCCCCCTTCCGGTCTGCAGCAGATCTGTGGGCTCTTTCTGTGGGCTCCGGTACCCTCAGAAAGCCCCACCGTTTCCCGCCTCCGTGGGTTCCTGCTCCCACGCTTGCGCCCTCCTCTGCGTTCACAGCAGCGGCCACGGCGATTCCCTTAAAGCTGAGGCACATCGGTCCGTGCTGTGTGCGGAAACCTTCGGCCGTTCCCCAGCTCCTGCACACGAAAAGCCGGAGTTCTTCCAGGGCCTACCATGTTCAGACACTGACCCCCTCCCCGACTTGCTTCTCCGATTTCAAGTCCTATTGCCCTTTGCCCCATCAACACCAGCCTCCTGGACGATCTCTCATTGTGCACCTGGCGCTCGCAGG